TCTCTCTCTCTGCCTACGGTTTACCGGGCAGTTCTATTTGTGACGATATATATATATATATATATATATATATATATATATATATATATATATATTACGTATTTTGAGGGGGAAAAAAAATATTGAAAAACCTGGCCGCAGACTGGGCCTCATCGGCCACGGTCGCGGCCGAAATGCCCGCGGCCTAAGCCGCGGGTGTCACGTAGGGACCCACACACTGCCCCTGATTGCAAAGACGCAAGCATCCACACCGACGACTGTTACATGCACATCCATGCACACTTCACCGCCGACAACGCCGGCCATCTTATAAACGCAGGGACTTCATCGATATGGGTGGCAAGACACTTGGGTGAGCATGCAATATTGATCCTCCATGCTTCCAGAAAAAGAACCGCGTACATGTCCTACCACCGAACAGCGGCCTTCGCCCCCCCCCCCGACCCACCAAATCCACAACCCAACCCCCGTCCCCGCCACCCGACCTTGGGCGCACCGGTTCTCAACCCGGACAGCAGAAGACTCCATCCTGGGAGGCATGCAACAACAACGGAACGCCATTCTCCAGTCCTTTTTGGACACAGCACGGGACCCCTCTGCGATAGTCGATTCCGATATGCCGAAGGCAAAGATAACATCCCACCCCACCGTCGCCACTGAGGATACACACCGCAGATGCGTGAACCTCATTCGGATGCGAGGCACAACGTTGATCCCAGTAGGCATGGTAGTCGATATGTCCCGACCGTAGACACGCGTCAGTCCGCCGTGGGATTCACATCAGCGAAAATGGCAACGTGAGACCATAGTCCATACGAGCAGCAATAAGAGAGGAACCAGCCAGGCAATGGCAGATGCGGCATTGGCTTCCGTTTTCAAGGAGACGGTTTTACTGGGTAGAGTGCGGGCGGTGGCCTGCAAGTACTGGACGTAGCGGCACGGAGCATAGGGGCGGAGATGGGTGGAATCCTCGCCATGAAGCACTGGTTGCTTCCGCCAGTGTGGCCGCCAACGGCCACCAGATGGGTGGAATCCTCGCCATGATCTGTTGCAGCGTGTGATTGATGAGGGAGAACTGTTTTCGTAGTTTCGCCCTCATCGTTCGACTAAGAAGTTCATCGATAAACAAATCCCTACCTACCTGCTCGCCTCTTTCAGTTTTTACAAACATTCGGTAAAACCGGTTCTGGTACTCGGTGACATACTCGAGGGGTTTCTGAACTCGATCTTTAATCATGAAAAGAACCTCTTCCAGATGGATGTTATCGAATCGGTTTAAGAAGTCTCGTTCGAATGTCAGGAGATCTACCCATACGTAGGTACTAAACCGATGATGAGCGTCCCCTCCTAATCGAGCAGGAATGTTTACCTGGGCCTACGGGTTGATTAGGATTTAGTTGTTGATTGGGTTTTTGTTGCGGATTCAGATTCTGTGGATTAGCGTTCATGTTGGTCGCCCGTCGATTTACCGATCGGCTTCTAGTGACGACGAGGTCGCGTCTGTGCACGTTCCGGGGTCGAGGTTGCCCTCTCTTAGCCAAATCGCTCAACTACTGTGCTACAAATCCTATACCCCTGCCACGTGTCGGCTCCGATACCAACCTCACGCCCGGTGCGACTTCCTGATCGAAGTGGGATGTGGGCCTGGAAGTGCGAAAAGGGGTGTGCCAAGGATTTTTGGGAAAGTGGGGGTGTCCCAGGTCAGAATTGAGATCTCCTGTGACAAGGTTTTAGGGGCACGGGTGTAATAAGGCTGAGGGACGAGTTACGTCCGGTTCGGTGGCAATCAATGTCGTGCAGCATAATGCAAATGGTATGTGCGGTGCATCCCAGACCGTACGATCCGCCCGTCCTGGGGATGGCAGTTCAGGTTAGGTCCGTTGCAATCTCTCACGAGTCGAACCTTCGGGGGTGAACGCGTGGCGATTGTTGGCGCGCGTTGGGGTTAGGCGCCGCAATTCCTGGGGCTCGACGGTTACCAACATTGTGGAACGCGTGGTGATTGTTGGGGCGCGTTGGGGACGGGTCCGTGCAGCTAATTCTATATGCAAAAATCGCCGCATGGCATATCCAATCATTCAGCAAACCCCTGATCCATAATCATTCTATACTTATGCAAGTAACGTGGCATCACACTGATCACAATGTTGTGGAAGACATCAACTTTCCCTTGTTCGCTATCCAATATGAGCAAAAACGAGAAGCAAAATGACAAACGTATCGTTCGTTCATCGCAGAGCAACATTCATTCATTCAACCTACCAAAAAAAAAGGATCACACTCAATTGCGAGTACACACGGGCCGAAGCCAAGACAAAGATGCCGAAAGCAAAACGACGGGCGAATCGCCCTAAGCCGAGATCAAAACTTATATACAAAGTTGGGAAGGAAAGACAAAGAAAATTGCAAATCCATATCCATCAACCTCAGCTCTCTCTCTCTCTCTCTCCGATGGGGACAGTCCGTCGTCACGCACCAACCCACGAAGTCGTCACCTCGCTTAGTCCTCCTGCACGCGTCAGGTTCGCCCGCGAGCTACAGTCCATCGGAGCCCCACGCGTCAACCCCGCGCATTCGGCAGCTTGTCGGGTTGTCCGACTCCCACTTCAACTTACCTCTTACTTCGCTCGTGAGCCGACCCTCACTGATCGCGCTTCCCGAGCTTCCAGCAACTGGTTAAGAGAGCTATCTAATCACGCAGCCGGGATTTATAGCGTGCATGCATGCGCGAAGAACACGGAATTGCAAGGACTTAGAAAGGAGATCAGGGTAGGGGGCACCTACGTTCTGCATGGCCAGATCGCAGCATGGGGGACAAAGCCACTCTCCACGTATCGATCCGAGCATGCAGGCCGCGGGCTAACTAGACACGGCAAAAGGGAAAGAGAGAGCGGGAAGGACGAAGCTTAAGAAGAAGGATACATTTACAATGGCGCCCAATCAAAATTATTGTTACTTGCAAGATTAAGGGCACCGACTAATTAGAGCTCTGTTGCAGCAGCAAAAAGAAGCGCGCAAGCAGAAGGCGTTGCGCGGCAAAAGGAAATCCTAAATTCCAAAATTCCAAAATTCCTATCTAATGTGAAAATGCAAAAAGCACAAATTCCGAAAAGAAAGTCCGAAGTTCCGAGAGCCGTCAAGGCTCGACAAGATTCAAAAAAAAAAATGAAAGAAAATTCAAAAAGAACAAAGCAAAATTCCCACGCGATCTCCGCACCTAAAACCCGACAGCAAAAAGAAAAAGAGATGACGTCAACCATTATTATTCGCGCGCACAGCGGCGCGCCACTCGGCCGATCATCCCGGGACTTGCCCAGCCCTGAACCCAGCCATCCGAAAAGAAGCGACGCAAAAAGACGAAGAAGCAAGGACATCGATGCAATTTCCCCTTCGATCCTGATCTCCCGTAATTGGCCCAACCTTCCCATCTTAGGACCCCTCATTATCATCGCGCAGAAGATCGCGCGGAACAGAAATTGGTTCGTCACAATCTCGAGTGTTGCAGGCGGGAATTTTGGGCTCTTCAAGCGTCACTCTTGAACCCACGTTCTGACACCTCTTGAATTTGTCTCTGGTTGCAAGCTTTCAAGAGGCTGTGTGGAGGTGCCAAAACTCTTGAAAAAAGGTTTTCAAGAGTGGTGTGGCGAGGCCCCTCAATCAGGTTATAGAAAAGATGCTTGCTTCCCTTCCTTTCTTTTTTTTTGGGGAAAACTAGGGCACTGGACCCCACTTTTCAACCCGGTTCTGAGTCTCGAGTCCATAGCCAGACCAACCTGGCTGAAACACAAGCTTTGAGGCTTTACCACTTCACACCACGTGCCACACCAACCTGGGATCAACACAGAATCTACTTCTAGATAGAAAGCAACAGACGGCCACTCATTCACATCCGACCCCTCCTGACCCTACCACGGGTCCCCAGGTCTAAAATGCTCCCCCCAGGCAGTGTGAGCCACCGCGTGACCAGGTTGAAGCACCCCCAGTTTTCCACAGTACCCTCCCGGGTACTCTGTTACTGTTACTCCGTTCCCTTGCCCCTCCCCCGTGAGGCTGTGAGCTGACGTCTGTGCCTCGTTGATAGGTTGCATGCGAGGCCCTAGGGGATAATTGCTAGAAAGAGCCCAAGCCAAGACCTTTTCGGTTTTGGGCGCCCGAAACTCGGCCGTCGCTACTACCGGCCCAAAGGTTTTCAGCCCAAACGTCTTTAGCCTGGGTGAAAGGCGCCTTCGCGCCGTGGCCACCCTCGGCCTCTTTTACATCAAAATGAATCTGGGGCTGTTATGCTCCAGATTCATGATCCGGTAGTACCCTTAGAGCGACGCGTGGGCCTGTAGTACACCACATGGAAGTCCTCGGGCTGGTAGTACCAAAAGGCCGAGTTTCGGGCGCCCCAAGCCAAGTAGGTTCTGGCGTGGGCTCTTTCTACTAGTTATCCCAAGCCGCGGCAGTTTATCTCTGCTGGTAGAAATAATGCGCGGCGTCACGCAGAGAAGCCTTGGCCATTTTATATCGGAAAGCTTTGTATCGACGAAGAACTTATCTCTGCCACTTGTCATGCCCAGCTTCCCGCGGCAGGGAGCTGACGCGTAATCTTTCTACGTCACCGTGACCAGCCGCATTACAGTCGGACCATGATCAACGGCCGGGCGGGGAAGAACGTTCATTCTCAATAAACAGCCCTCGGCAAGAACGCGGATCCCTCATTAATCAGCTCGTGTCAACCTTTTATTTTTTATTTTTTTTTAACAAACAGTTTACTTCCACTCGCTGAGTCGCTGGTGCGTGGCAATCAAGGGCTCATGGGCCAGTTTTGCAATTAACGGCTCAGGGCGAAACAGCCCCTCAGCTCGTTTATCGCTACCATGTGTGCACCACTGATAGCGGGACGGCTCGGGATTGTGCATGGTGATGTGATTTGATGTGGTGGCTTGCCCCGCACCCCGCCAGCTAATACGTAATAAAGCCCCCCTGCGTAGGGTGGTTTTCCCCGTTCCTTTTCAGTGTAGTAGACTTCTTTTTGTTTTTTGTTTTTTTTTCACCTTCCGTGTACTAGTGTGATGACGCCTAGCTGGTTGATGAAGACGATGCGTTTTCGCGAGAGAAGGAACGTCCGTGCGGCATTCTGTGACATCAGAAATCGACACGTGCGCTTCCTCTTGGTGCGCTTATTCTTCTTCTCCTTTTTCCTGACCTTAGCTGCCATGCTCCGCAGCTACAGTCCGGTCGAGGGACTGTCCCGCAGATTCTCATCGTTGGTTGTGATTTCGAATTCCGATGCGCACGTGGTTGGTCGCCTTCTGCAGGCGCCCACTTCGGCAGCCCCGCCATCTCTTCCATGGTCACCGTGGGTAATGTCGCCACTGGAAGGCGGACTCTTGATCGAGGACTCGGGACGGTTCGTTGCTTCACATCCATCCCCGAGACAGGCTTGTCAGTGTGTAGTCTCGAACCTGGTGGTTTCGCCTCAGAAAGAGCTGTACTATGTCCTCGAGGAGACCTGCTCAAACAGCAGCTCAAACAGCAGCGTTACGTCGATCAGAAAAGCCAACTTATCGAGGGCAATCCAGGGACCGGACTCGGCGGATGACGAATCAACATTATTAACCTACTTGTGGACTGAGGACGAGCGGAACGGGTCGAGAATTGCAGAACGGCCGAATTCGACGGCTTCCGTGATGGGGATGGCCGTTTCGAAAGATGGTTCCCATCTCATCTTGAGCGTAGCCTACTTCTCCGATTCTGATTTCTTTGGGTACTCTTACGATGGCAGCATCACGTCCTTGTCTGTTTCTGACTCCTCCCGTCTTTCTTTCTCCGCGTTTGTGTTCAGTGGTATTAGCAAAATCGGCTTGGACCCTTCCGGAGAGCGTCTCGTTTTTGCTACGCGCTCAGGCGGGGGACTCAAATATATTCGGGTCGATAGCTCGGGACTTCCGTTGAATGTACCTGACGATTCGGAATCTGCGCTTAGATACACAGATGGAGATCAAGTTTCTGATGCCATATTCCAATCTCAAAGCTTTGTGGACGGTTGCCTTTACTTTTTGCATACAGATAAGAACCAGCTGTTCGGGTTTCGCCCGTTCATCGAGGGCAGCGCACCCACATCGCTATTGAGCTATCGATCGGCAGTTCTGACTAATGTTGTGGTCACTCGAGACAGGTGTCGTCTCTTTCTTACCGATGGTTTCTTTCTTGTTAGTGCGGACATCCGCAGACAATGCTCTGACGTAAAAAATAATATTTTGGAGTTGTCAAACGGACGGGGTACATTTAGGGGATTGGCCTTGATGCAGAATGAAGTGGGGGAGGACACATACTTATACGTGGGCTCTGACGACGGGAAACTTTTTGAAGTGCAGTTGAACAGCTCTGGCAGACGCTGTGTATTAGAAGCGGAACCAAGCATTCCCCCCGCACCTGAAGGTGTCGTAGAATCAAAACCAAGCAATCCCACTGCGTCTGGACCTGCCATCACTGTTCTGGTAGCATCTGGGGTGGCTGGCACAGTGGTCGCCATGGTAATCATTGGTAGCTCGATTTGCCTATGGAGGAGAGCGCGCCGCCCACCAGCTGGTCCGGAACGTCTCCCGGAAGTCGGTGAACAAGCGACTTCATCTTTAATGGAAGATGAAGCGTTGGACGCGTGGGGAATTAAGCCGTCGCGGGTCAAGCAGTTCATTTTCAGAGTCCTGTCGGAATGTACGGACAAATTCAGCGAGGGTCGGAGAATTGGGGAGAAGGGAGCGTTTGGGAAGGTTTACAGAGGCTCGCTCGACGGCGAGGAGGTSGCGATGAAGGTGATGACGGGTGAGCTAACGGACACCAAACGGAGCCAGTTTGTGGCCGAAGTGAACACCCTCAGCGGGCTCAATCATGCAAACCTCGTACGACTAGTCGGGTACTGCCTCGCGGGCGATCACTGCATCTTGGTATACCCGTTCTTCAGAGGAGGCAGCCTTCACGGGCGGCTGTTCCCCAAGGCCATCACTGGGAAGGATGCAAAAGCGCCGGACACAGACCAAATTGTCGAGGATCCATCCCCTCCGCTGACGCTTCTGGAGCGCATGAGCATCGCCTTCCAGGTGGCCAAGGGGCTCGGCTACCTTCACGACGCCGCCAGGCCACCGATTATYCATCGGGACATCAAGAGTAGCAACATCCTGCTCGGCGAGGGATCTGGCGAGAAGCTTCACGTCGTCGTAGCGGATTTCGGATTAGCAGCCATCGGCGAGAGRGTRTTRGRCACMGGACATGACCACGTCGTGMTGACCTCTCACATCGGCGGCACTTTCGGGTATATGTCGCCCGAGTACATGCTGAGAGGAGAGCTGTCCGAAAAGAACGATGTGTACTCTTACGGGGTACTCGTTCTGGAGMTGTTGACGGGCAGGAAGGTGGTCGGGCCGGCTCCTTCCGGGCTGGGATGGCAGACGATCGTCGAGTGGGTGAAGCCTTTCCTTCGAGGGGGAGTCGTCCCGAGCGGGAGCATGGAGATGCCGTACCCGATACTCGATCGGTGCTTGTGGAATCAGGTGGCTGGAGATTCGATCAAGAAGATGGTGATGAACACATTCCGACTG